GAGGGAAGATCATGTGGATAATTTTCAGTATCAAGATAACAAAGGAAATGAGGTATACTTTGATGACCGAACTGTGAGTTCTAGGTCTGCAACTTATACAAGTTCAGTGAGAAGTAAGACCTCCTCTGAGAGTTCTTGGGAAGGATCATCAGCAAAGGTCTCAAAGTCAACAAGGGAAAAACGGGGTAGGAGAACTGCTCTTTCAGCAGCGCCGTCTGCTGCATTTGGGAAAGGCAAGAGTGTGTCTGAACATTCATCTACCCAGGCAGATGATGACAACAGAGATTGGAATCAGCCTACGACTTTAGGTGCTGAAATGGTAGAAAGAAGCACAGGACCTCAACCTGTTGCATCTTTGCATGTTCCAAGGCATCAAATGCCAGGTTTTGAACCGTCTCAGACAAGTGGATCAGATTCGTTGATACCATTTGCTCCAGTGCTCTTAGGTCCTGGTTCACGACAGAGAGCTTCAAATGATGCTGGGATGCTTTTTTATCCTACGGGGCCTCCAGTTCCATTTGTTACAATGCTTCCTTATAATTACTTCTCAACAGAGACAGGAACTTCAGATGTATCAGCTAACCAATTTAGTAGAGAAGAGGGAACGGATAATAGTGATTCTGGTCAGAATTTTGATTCATCTGAGGGAGCTGATCAGGCTGAGGTATTAAGTATTTCTAACTCTATTGGAAGGGCTGCTCCTATTGAGGCATCAGAGCATAAGTCTGACATTCTACACAGCGATTTTGCAAGTCATTGGCAGAATTTGCAATATGGACGTATTTGCCAAAATAATCGGCATCCTTCACCTATGGTTTATCCATCACAAGTTATGGGGCCCCCTGTCTACTTACAAGGACGATTTCCTTGGGATGGCCCTGGGAGACCTCTTTCAGCCAACATGAATCTTTTCACTCAGCTTGTGGGTTATGGGCCTCGACTGGTTCCTGTTGCTCCTCTCCAGTCTGTTTCTAACAGGCCTGCCAGTGTTTATCAACGTTATGTCGAAGAGATTCCAAGATATCGTAGTGGGACTGGGACCTACCTGCCAAATCCTGTAAGATAACATATACCTGTTCCTTATCAGCTGATTATTTTGGAATTTTATTTTTCATTAAGCATGTTGCACCCACCAATCTTGTCTGTTGGACCAGTGCATGGTTTCTGAAAAGTTAGGCTTTAATTAAACGTGATGTAGAAAGAAGTTTTCCATCATTTTATTTTACTTCTCTTGATTTACCCAAAACAAAAACACTACAGCTTTAGGTGATCACTTACATACTGCTGCAGTTTTATTTATCCCTTTTATCCCCTTTTAATTACTTCAGAAGGTTACTGTACGGGATCGGCATCCTTCAAGCACAAGAAGGGGGAATTACAATTATGAAAGAAATGACCACCATGGTGATAGAGAAGGAAACTGGAATACTAATTCAAAGTCACGAGCTTCTGGCCGCAACCACAGTCGCAACCAAGGTGAGAAGCCAAATTCAAGAGCAGACCGTTTGGCAGCTAGTGAGAGCCGAGCCGAAAGGCCATGGAGCTCACATAGGCAGGACTCATTCCCTTCATATCAATCTCAAAATGGTCCTATCCGCTCAAACACTACGCAGAGTGGTTCCACAAATGTTGCATATGGCATGTATCCGCTACCAGCCGTGAACCCCAGTGGGGTGTCATCAAATGGACCTTCCATTCCATCAGTTGTCATGTTGTATCCTTATGACCATAATACTGGCTATGGGCCACCTGCAGAACAACTTGAGTTTGGTTCTCTTGGACCAGTGGGCTTCTCAGGATTGAATGAAGTTTCACAGCTAAATGAGGGGAACAGGATGAGTGGAGTATTTGAGGAACAAAGGTTTCATGGTGGCTCTGCTCAACGATCTTCGCCTGATCAGCCTTCTTCACCCCACCTCCAAAGGTAGTTGGTTCAGGTGTATTTTTCCTTCATTTGGGGGAGGGGTTTTGGTGGTTGGTGGTTCTGGGTGCCATGGTAGTGTCTCAAAGGCCAAACTCTTCTTAAGATTTTATTTAGAGCAATTTCCTTTTTTATTTTTGTTATTTTCAACCTATCACTTCTTCAATGGGATTGTTTTATGATGCTTTCAATTATCTTAACAGGGGAGTTTGATTATTTTGCGAGATCAGTGGCCCAGAGGAATTATCAGATGAAAGATGAGGATTTTCCACCTCTAGCTTTAACTGGTCAGGGAGGGAATGATGATGGAAGAAACTACAATGAGAATCCCTCCTATTACCAAGCGTTCTTGTTCTCACCCCAATCTTAAAAAGGAAGGAATTTGACTATTTCATTCCATGATTTCCTAATATCTTCCTAATCACATCATATCTGCTTGGAGCTTTTTGTGTACACTAGAAAGCAATTTACTTGCTCCATTTTCAAGAATACAAGATTTGGTGGTAAATGAGGGTGATAGTGGTGTGATGATGAAGGGGAAGGCAGGACTCGGCGTCTTAAATTCCAGTTTAGGGTTAGGCACTTTGTAACTCTACTGAAGTAGAAACTCGCTTTAGGTTCAGAACTTAGGATTTTACTGTGTTACATAATTGGTCTACCTGAAATCTCTTTCACACAATGTACTAGGGTTTTTGGATCAGTAGCTGTGTATCAGTTCTCTTTTATGTACTCTTGTTTAAGATTTTCAACAGTGTAGCAATTACACCACCATAGATGAAATTGGGTCATGTTTGGTTTACTTGACAATCTTTTAGTTCTTTCTTTCAAATCTTTTTTTTTCTGATACAGGAAATTGGTCATTTTGCGTTAATTTTTTCTTCAATATTTCCCAAATAGTAAATTATGTTTGGTAGTAAATGTTGAGAAACAGGTGCACCAAGGTTCACATATCATATTGTTTGTAAGTGTTTGTAGGCCTCTGAGTTGCACGTAAGTGTCTGATTGTAAGTTGGTCTTCGGTCTTCCTATGTAAACACAACTTCAAAATAAACCTACACCTCCATTGAAAGGGCTCTTTACCTTTCTTTAGGCATTAATCTGCTTCTCTTTAACATGTAATTTCCAAGAACAAGCCTCCTTCATAGTTCAACAAAATGAATCTCGGAACCGAAAACCAAAACTCCCTTCTATTCTGTTTTTTATATCTTTTAGGCTTTTTATCACAAAACGTCCCTGAGGTTTGCGAAACTATCAGATTGCATCCTTTATGTTTTTTTGTGTCATTTATGGTCCTTAAGGTTAATACGTGTGCTCACAAATAGTCCTTGCCGTTAGGTTCCATCTAAAAATCTGTTAAATTGATGATGTGGCACACATGTGGGTCTCACATATCCAATGATATGATGCCATGTGAATTAAATAAAAAATTACATTTTAAAAAATAATTTCAAATTATAAACCATTAAAAAAACTTTAAAAAATTTAAAACCCAAAAAGAAAAACAATTCACCACCTCCTCCATTGCACCAAACCCCCACATCCAGCCTCCTTCCAACCCGCTATCCCAAATTAACACCCATAACAGCCAACCCAAACCTAAACTCCCCATCACCCACTGCCTATCTCATCTCAACAACCAAAGACCAAAATTGTATGTTGTAATTATTTATATAATACAAAAATATGGTGAAATTACATGAATTCTTGCTTGTTTGTGAATTTTCAAGGATAAAATTTTGGTACTCGATTCTATTTTGCTGCTGCCTTCTTCGGAGTCGTTGGTAAAGTCGAGGCCTTCACCGGAGGAGATGGTGGTTAGTAAGGCCAAATCTGGAGTGGGTTGGGTGGGCTTAGTGGTTGTCTGAGTTTGGAGGGGGGGGAGGGGGGTGGGGGGAGGGGAGAAGAGGGGAGTGGAGTTTAGAGTTGGTTGCTGTCAAATAAAGAGAAGAGGGAAGAGAGACAAAGAGGGAGAGAAAAGGAGGAGGGCGGGGCAGTGGTGCGGAGGGTGGGTGAGGATGGGGTGCGGCTGTTGGAGGTCTAAGAGGAAGGGGAAGACTGGTGGGGGTTGGGGTTTAGTGCGATGGAGAAGATGATGGTGATTTTGTTTTTTGGGTTTTTAATATGTTTTCATTTCTTTTAAGTTTTTTTTAAATTTTTTATAAGTTTCAAATATATTTTTTTTATTTAATCCATGTGGCATCATATCATTGGATATGTGAGACCCACATGTGTGCCACATCATCAATTTAACAGATTTTTAGATGGAACCTAACGGCAAGGACTATTTGTGAGCACACGTATTAACCTTAAGGACATCTTTTATTCAACAATTGTATTTTTTTGGGGTAATTAAATGAATTTATAAACCAAAAAGAGGGCAAAGCCAGAGAACCAAAAACCTCAAGGTCAACAGACCAACCAAGAGAAATACAAAGGGGTTGCCCCAAACCAGCTTAGGTTTGGTAATCTGCTTGCGCTTGCTTTAGTGCAGGAGTTGTCGCCTTCTTCTAAGTCAGAAAGGGCATTCAATGATCATAGTAGGGCTGCACACGGGTCGGGTTGGGTCGGTTATGGGCTCAAATCGTTCACCGAATCGGGTCATGTCGTCAGGCCCAAATCCTTAACCTCACACCTGTTTATTAAGCCCATTTTCGACTTAAGTCGATACCCGAATTAAACGGGTCAGGTTGGTTCGGTTTGGATGTATGCCGAGGCCCAACAAAAGCAAGAATTGAAGGTTTTTTTTAAAGTTTTTCAAGCCCATTCTTTTTTTTAAAGTTTTCCAGGCCCATTTTTTTATTATAAAAAAACAGTTTTCCAGGCCCATTCTGTTTTTCCAGTTTCTCCTATTTAAAGTTTATCATCATTCAAATATAAAAAAAACACTTAAAACCTAAGAAAATTATCAACCACCACTCATGTCGAAATAATCCAATAATTATTACAAACCATAGCTGATTGTGAGAGTAATCTCAATCACAATCTGCATATTTGCAAAGTTTAAAAGAAAATCCAAATGAAAACAAATAAATTTCCATGACAGCAACCAAAATAACAACCAAAATATAAAAATTTACGAGAAATAAACACAACCAGCAAGCCAATCCTTTTTCCTTAGCCTGCAAATCAATTCTGTACAGATAATGATATCACAAAGGAACATTAGTGGAGAACAAAAAATGAACTCTGTTTCAAATGAAAAAGTTTCCATTCTCTTCTTTCATTATTTTAGGAAACTCGATTAGTATAGAAGCAGACACACACACACACACAGAGATAAGGATTATAACTTGTGTTAGACATAACCCGAGAAATTTTAGCAAACTCGTTTAGTATAGCTAGCACATGAATTTTTTGAGATGTTAAATATAGTAATATACGTAGCACATAACCAGTACATAAAATGCAATACATAATAAAACTCGGTTGCTGGGCAGTGTCCCCCAAAAAATATCAAATAAAAAGAAAATTTCCAGATAGTAGTTCCTTTTATCAGACATTATTCATTACAGTGAACAAACATCTTATAACATACACCAAAAATTCTTGAACCAAAAAATATAGAAAATTACCAGAAATAAAAACACAACCAGCAGCAAGCCAATCCTTTCCTTAGCCTTCAAAATCAATCTGTCCAACAAAAAAAATCACAACATAGTTAGACAAAATAAATAAAATAAATATAAATTTTCGGCCCTAAAATAAATAAATACAAATAATAAAAATCACAACATAGTCAGACTCGTTCATGAGAATTTGCGGCTCAAATTGACAGAAAAATCGAGTGAGGAAAACTGAGAGAGAGCGAGAGTGACCGTGAGAGAGAGAGAGAGAGAGAGAGAGAGAGAGAGCGACACTGATTGAGAGAGCGCGAGTTACTGAGAGTGAGAGAGAGAGAGAGCGAGAGCGAGAGTGACAGAGAGCCACCCTGCGAGTGACTGAGAGAGAGAAAGAGAGAGAGCGAGAGAGAGAACGATAGTGACAGAGAGATTGAAAGAAGAAGTCGACGGATTTGGTTTTTGGGGAGAGGAGGTTAAGTGAGAGAGTGAGGCAGCAGATCAGATCTGTCTGATTGAGAGAGAGAAGTGAAAAAAAATTTGGAGCGGCTGAAGAAATGAAATGTTAGAACTTAGGTTAGGGTTTGTTTGAGTGAGAGGAGGTTGAGTGAGAGGTTGAGTGAGAGAGGCAGAGGCAGCAGATCTAATCGAGAGAGAGAAGTGAAAAAATATTTGGAGCGGCTGAAGAAATGGAATGTTAGGGTTTGTTTGAGCGAGCGATCGAGTGTGGCAAGGTGTAGACTTGGGTTTAAAATGGACGAATCAGCTGCTGCCACATGTTTTAATTCATTTTAAAATAATATAATTTAAAATGTTCGGTCCGGTTCAGTTTTCGTCGATTTGGAGAAAATTAAACCGGTTCAACCCGGTTCATGGCCGGTTCGGTCGGTTTTTTTACCGGTTCATGCATTTTTAATTATAAAAACCAAACCAAAACACCATCCCGATAATATCTGATTTTTGGGGGTCCGATATTTTAACAACTAACCATATAGTTATCGTCAATATATCGATATTATCCCGATATTATCCCAATAATATCGGAAAAATATTTTCAACACTTTTATGAATGATTTGGTCAATATATCGAGATATTATCGATAATATCCCGATAATATCCCGATAATATCCCAATATGAAACTCAAAAAATGTAGAGAACTGAAGTAGCTCATTGAACTGATTTGGGTACTCTACGGAAAGCATGTCTCCTAGAGTAATACAAAAGTAGCTCATTGAGCTAATAAACAAAGCATGTCTAGCCGACAGAATGCTCACATGCTTTTACAAAATGGATAAAATATAAAACTTAGCTTTGGATTCCTGGCTTGGTTTACAAAATGGATAAAATATAAAACTCACCAACGTT